AAGATTTTAAAAATTCAAAAAATTTTCATCCTAAATCTTTAAATAATAAAATTATGAAAATGATTATATCTATTTGAACTCTAATTATCAAATTTATATTTCAAATAAATGTAAAAAATTTAATATTATCTTTATCTCTTATTATATCTATTTTAAATTTTAAAAAATTAACTTAAAAATTATCTATTTAATCCTAATTGCCACTAAAGAATTTTTTTGTAAATTTAAGACTACAAATGTAATGTGTTATACATCAATTTTTTTTATTTTTTCAATAACTTTTTTAAGTTATATTCTATTACTATTGCAATTTATTTTTTTTGTTTGTAAATTTTTTAAGATTTATTTTATTGTTATTACAGTTTCATTCATATGAAAAATAATATTTTTTTCAATTTATTTTTCTTTTTTCATATATTTTCTAATATTGTCATATTTTGTATAATAATTTTGTCAAGATTACAAAGTGAAATGTGTTAATACTTCTTTTATTATTTAATTTATCATTCAATAATATATATTTTTTATTTTTTAAAAAAAGACATAATTTATTTTTATTTGATATAATTTTACAAGTGTATAAATATTATTGTAAACAAAAATATTGAAAGGAAAGATATGGTTTTTTTTCTTTGCTGTTTTTAAAAAAATTATTTTTAATGACAAGTTAATATATATAAATTTTATATATGTTATAAATTTTAAAAATTTAATATAATTTTGAAAAAAAATTTAATTTGTAATATATATTCATATTAAATAAATAAAATTATTTCGTGCAATACACAAGTTATAATCTAGTTAAATAATATGATAAGAGGAATTTAAGGGTAAATTAAAAATTTTAAAAAAAAATAGTAATTGTACTTTCGTTCATCCTTTGGGCAATTGGGTAATTTATGTATTAATTATTGATTCAAAATTCAAATAATTAAAATTCATAACTTAGGTATTAATTATTTATACACTATTAGTGTGTAAATTTTATATACTATAGTGAATCAGATGATAACAATTTGAGTATTAATGAGTTATCATCATTTGATTCACTGACAATATAATATATATATATTGATAATGTATCAAATATAAACTCAAAAATTATATATACTGAATTTGAATGTTAGACTTGAGATATTTGATGTTTACTTATTTTTAATTAAGATAGTATTAGTTATCAGAAGCAGGCTTTATCTGGTTTTGGTTTGGATGCTGCAAATGGAAGAAATTGGTGGAGACTTACTTCTGTTTGAGGTTTTAATTAGCTACTGTTCTGACTAGATATTTGTTCTCTTAATCAATTCAGACAGGCTTTGTCCAATTGTCTTGTTCCTTTGCACAAAGCAAAACAACAATTTATTTTTTTTAATCTCAAAGACTGCATAGAGTATTATTGCCATGTTAATTACAGTAATTATAGAGTATGATTTTAGAGAATATAAATAGGTTTCTGTTTATTAATTGATTGTTAATCGTTTAGCAAACCACTGACTGTCAGTAAAGCTAAAGCAATCTATGCATAAAACTACAGTGTTATGATCTGTTGGATATTGAAACAGTATAATATTTACTTGCTCAAGCCTTTTTTTTTTCCCTTTTTCTAAGGAAATGCTATCACTTAAATTGTGAGTCAACTGAAAAAAAATGGTGAGAGTGGTTGAAGAGTAGTTCCACAAGTTGGGATCTCAATTCAAAATGTCAGGTTCAATGGCTCTAAATTGATCCATTTGAAATTTGTTTTGAAAGCAAGCAAACTTGCCTATCAAAGATTCAAATCATGAAAAATTGAGAGTATCAGCACGTGGGGTTGCTCCAAATCCTTTCAAAAGATCAGATGTGACCTCGTGAGTCGTGAAAGTGATATTCTTAGCTACATTTCTTCCGTTTGGGGGGCTTTGCGATCCAAATTCCTCATGATTTAAGGCCTATATTCAGCCGTTAGTTCGGTTGGCAATAGGTCCAATTGGGTTCTAATCAAAAAAATATTTGCAGTTAATCTTTTCTGCCTAATGCCCTTAGCTAGTAATATCTCTTATTATTTTTTTTTATGAAAAATTCAAAGTAAATAAATTATTTAATTTTTTAAATCAAGATAAAATATGTTGATTTAAAATAAGTGAATGAAAATCATGCATTAAGTGTTTTTTTGCTTGTTAGGGAAGCAGGAACATGAATCAGTTATATATGTCAGCTTTGGAAGACTTGCAGCAATCTGAAACTGAACATTACCTTCCAGTCATCCACAAAAGTGACCAGGAAGATCTTTCATTAGTTGGTGGCTGGTATGGTGAACCAAAGCAAAGCCTCTTCGGGGCTAATATAGAACAGTTTCCAAGAAATAGAACAATCTGCATTGGAAGCACTGCACCAAGAACTTGGGGTTCCACTTTTCCCAATTGGCCCATTTCAGAAAAGCTTTCCAGTGCCTTCAAGTAGTTCATTAACACAAGACCAAAGTTTTATTTCCTGGGTAAACAAACAAGAGTCGAAGTCAGTTATCTATGTTAATGTTAGCATTGGAAGTCCTGCAGCACTAACAGCAAGCAATTAAATGGGCAACGATTTTTATGGGTGGTTAGGCCTGGATTAATCTATGTTTCAGAGTGGCCTTGAACCATTACCAAATGGGTTTTTGGAAACATTGGGTTGGAAGGGGACAGGTAGTTAAACGGGCTCCTCAATAGTGGGAGCCTTTGGACTCACAATGGCTGGAACTCAAATTTGGAGAGTATATGTGAAGGGGTCCCTATGATTTGCATGCATGCCTTGTTTCACTGACCAGAGGGTTAATGCAAGATATGTAAGAGAGATTTGGAGGATTGGTTTGCAATTAGAGAATGGGCTGGAAAGAGAGGGGAAATAGAGAGGAAAATCAAAAGATTGATGATGGAGAAAGTGTTGTATATAAAGGACAAATCAAATCTATGCTTGAGTCAAGTTGGTTCTTCAAGACAATCTCATAGCTTGGTTCATCACATCATATCATTGAAATCACTCACTTTCCACACACAGTAAAAAGTTCTCAACTAGAATTTGCTTTGTTTCATCAGAAGATTGAATATCAAGCCCTATAGTCAATAGCATTGGAGATTGAATTACTTTTACTCATTTTCCAATGTTATGAATGCAAATTGCAGAACTATATGTTTCAGTGATTTGCTTATTGGAATAAAAAATTTGTGTATTACTACAAAGAACGGAACAAAAATTTTATTGAAAAAAAAAATCAAGACCCAAAACTTCTTTGGAATGGCAAACTTGCAAAATATATAAATCCTAGCAAAGTCATTTATGTTTTTTTTTTTAATTTTTTTGTGAGTTTATATTTAATATATTATTAATTTATACATTCTATACACTTTAAGTGAATCAGATGATGACAATAAATATTTTAAATATATTCATTTATTTTATTAATGAATTGTTATAATTTGATTCATTGATAACATATAAAATATATGCACTAAAAGTATATCAAATATAAACTCAATATTTATTATTATCAGTTTCCAATTAGGTCATTATCATTGCCTATTAGCCCCTATATTTGTCATTTAGGTATCTTTCTTTAGAGTTTAGAAGCTGTTTGAATTCATGGATAACACGAAAAGAAATTGCAGATTTGCAATTGAATTCATGTATAACAGTTAATCAAACCTTCTTGCAACTGTGATGCAGCTGCTTTTATAACTCCCCAGGACAATGTATCCAGCAAGCAGGTTCTTCATTTCACTCTCTAGAAAGCTTGATTAGCTTCAAATTATCATTCCAATCAGACTCGGGATTAGTCTAATATATTTTTCCTTTTCGTTAATTGGAACTTTGTAATTCATAAGTCACATTTTCAGAAATTTTTGTAAATTATGCAGCTTTCCCTTAAATAATTATAATTATAATTTGTTAGCGCAAAAACCGAAAATTTGAAATATCTATTTTTAGTAAATATGAAATTTTAAGAAAAAGCTTTAAGACGTAATGATACTATTTTTTTAAGATTTTATTTGTTCTTGTGATATTATTTGCTTAGAAGAGTGCAAAAGAATAGTTGAAGATAAATTTCGAAAATATAATAAAATTCAATGACTAGTTACGTTTTGTATTAATGAAACCAATTCACCGAATATTCACTAATATATTACAAAATCATTAAACTTTTATGAGATTTTTTGCATTAAAACTTTATTAAAAAAAATAAGGATGTTATTGAAGAAAGAAGCATAGTAGTATTGAAAATTGTTTCTTGTATCTTCTAAAAAAATTGAGGAACTTATATAACCAGGTAAGTGTCTATTTATTTTATAGATATAACGGTTTATTTTAAATAGATAAAAATTATCCATTTTTAACAGTTAAAAATTATTTATTTTGAATAAATTTAATTATCTTTTTGTTTTAGACATACTTTAACTAATTAAACACTTAAATAATTAACAAATTTAAAAAAATTACTTTTTTTATTGCATCGCTAAATGCAAAATCCCATTAATTAAATATTAATATTAATTATTTAATTAATACAAGACCTACTAAGTTTGAAAATTCAAACCTATGATTCATTATTTACTTAAATTTAACTACAATGAATTTTACTTCTCTTAATTTAAATGATTATCTTATTTAATTTTTTTTCAATATAAGATTATTTTTTATACTTTATTTTAAAATTTCTAACATAATCAAATACGTTAAATCAAATAAACAAATCAATGGACGAAATTAGCATATAATTTGATAAATTCAATAGAAATTAAATCAAAACTCATGCATTATAAAATTTGAATTTGAAATCTCAAAATTTCATGACCTGTATCTATCAATTATCGACTGAGCCCGTGTTAGTTGTCTACGGATGTACAGATAAAGACAATTCGTCCTTGTCCAGTTCCCACGTGACCCTATTCTTTTTATATTTTTTATTGAAATACGATTAACAGATAAGATTGCATAAAATATCTTAATTATGAAGTCATCACATATGCCATGAAACTCTATAAGTTGTTGGATGATTTATGCTACGGAAACTGGAATCAAGAGCAATACTCTTAAAACAAAATGAAAGGCCATGGAGTCATACTCTTTCCGATGCCATTTCAAGGCCATATAAATCCCATGTTTCAGCTTGCCAACATCCTCCATGCCAAGGGCTTTTCCATTACCATAATCCATACTCAGTTCAACTCTCCCAACCCCTCAAACTACCCTCATTTCAGATTCTATTCTATACCTGATGGATTATCAGAAAATCATGCCGTGCCTTCAGATCTTAATCATATTGTAACCCTCCTAACAACCCTCAATTCGAATTGTGTAACATCTTTTCGTGATTGTTTGGCTAAGCTGCTATCTGTCAACTTGGAGGATCACATTGCTTGCTTAATAACTGATGCTTTATGGCACTTTACACAAGCGGTTGCTGATGGCCTTAAGCTTCCAAGGATTGTGTTAAGGACCAGCAATGTCTCTTCTTTTCTTGTTTTCACGTACATGCCATTTCTGTGCGAAAAGGGTTACCTCTCAGCGCAAGGTACAGATCATTTATCTAGCTTCTGGTCACAGCAATAGGTTTAGAAAACCACAACTAAGAATTGTCATCAGAGTGCAATTTTTATCAAGATTGGACTCTGATGAATCATTATCAAGATCATTTTTCTGAGATAGTTCTATGGTGTTCTGATAGGATTCAGATTTTGCTAGAGAAACTTGATGACGAGTTGAAATGTCACAAATCTTAGTTTCTTCTGACTGCATTATTTTTTCTCCAAAAAGAAGCTATAAAGTTCACGTTAGCACATAATTATTAATTGTATTTGTTACAGCCTAGCTTTAAGCGAATGTTAAATGTCATCCTTTTTATTTATGCAATAAAAATTATTGAAATGCTGAATATAATTGCTTCTCAGACTCTCAAGCAGAAAACCAAGTCCCAGAGCTTCCACAACTCAAATTCAAAGACATTGTTATGTTTGAAAGAGGTGATCTGGGAAGATTACGTCAATTCATTGCTATTGTAGTTCAAGAAACCAAGGCCTCTTCAGGAATTATATGGAACTCCTATGAAGACCTTGAACAAGAACATCTAACAAAATGTTCCCTGTACTTTTCTATCCCAGTTTTTCCAATAGGTCCTTTCCACAAGTGCTTTCCTGCCTCTTCCAGTAGCTTATTGCCTCAAGACCAGAGTTGCATATCATGGTTAGACAAACAAGCACCTAACTCTGTGATTTATGTTAGCTTTGGAAGTGTAGCGGCTATAAATGAGACTGAATTCTTGGAGATAGCTTGGGGGCTGGCCAACAGCAATCAACCCTTCTTGTGGGTGGTTCGACCAAGGTTAGTCCACGGCTCAGAGTGGCTTGAACTATTGCCGAATGGGTTCCTAGAAATGGTAGGTGAAAGAGCCTACATAGTGAAATGGGCTCCCCAACAGGAAGTGCTAGCTCACCCTTCAACGGGAGGATTTTGGACACACTGTGGTTGGAATTCAACCCTGGAGAGTTTATGTGAAGGGGTTCCTATGATTTGTCGGCCATCTTTTGCTGGACCAGGAAGAATAATGCAAGTATGTAAGCCATGTTTCGGGGAGTTGGGGTTGCCATCTGGAATACAAGTAGGGAGAGGGGAGATAGAGAGGGCAATCAGGAGACTGAATGGTGGGGAAGCAGAAGGACAGGAAATGAGAAGCGAATCATGTGATTGAAGGGAATGAAAGGCGAATCTTTGTCTAAACCTGGAGGTTCATCCTACAAATCTCTGGACAATTTGGTTAGTTACATACAATCATTGTAGTCTACTAAGGAGTATGGACCACTATTCGTGTTTATCTTTGTTTCTTGCGATACCTTAATTTGATTGCCATTGGTTCTCTCTTCATGTTCTTCTCCAAGCTCTATATTTGGCTTATCATTAAGCTCACCATGAAAAAAACCCAATTCTGCATTGAATTTCGGGAAAAACAAAGGTACATAGGTACATTTATGCACCTTGGAGGATAGGGCAAAGCCCCTGGAATTCTTGCTTCAACACATTGCTAGTCATCTGTCATCCTTGTTAACACTGGTTCGAAAGGGATCTACGATCGTTTGTATTAGGGGCCAAAAGAATCTAGTAGTGAAACAATATTGTAGCACGGAGATAAATAAAGACATCGAAGGCGTAGAGATTTAAATTTGTTGAATATTAATATAATTTTAACAACGATAAAAAATGTGATCAAATAATTAACATTTAATAACGGGTGTATATGTACCTACAATCACAAAAAATATTTCTTATCATGATATTATCAATAAATTTAGGATTTGATATTTTTGTAAAATAACTGTTTCATATCAAATACAATTAAAATATAAAAAATGTCACAATACAATTCATATAAATACTTTAAATATGAAATATATATTTATTTTTATTAAATTTATATGTGATTTTTACTAAAATTTTAAATTATATTATTTTTATATATTTTTTTCATATTATTTTATGTTATATCATTGTGTGTAACAACGTAAGATTATCAAATTTAATCACTATTATGGATTCTACTTTTTATTTATTTAAAAAAAATAAAAAGCGGAAATGCAAAAGATATCCATGTTATTCACTCCCTCAAACATGTCTCTTCTTTTATCGATTTGCCAAAGCCAAAAGATATCCACGTCACTCACTCCCTTAAACACACGTCTCTTCTTTTCTCCATTTTCCAAAGGCCATTAATTAGATTATTCAACAAATGCTTTTCACCGTAAAAAATATAATCATATTATTAAAGAAATTAATTATTTATTATACATCATGTAATAAATAATTAAAATTTTAAATAATATGATTATATAATTTGATCCGAATAAAAAATATATATTAAACGATATTATTTCACACAAGGGTTTGTTTTTTTCATTTCGGGTCGACCATCGTTGCTGAACTTTTGTTGGTATTAATAATGAATACAGTGAAATTTTTCCACACCTCTTATCTCATCTTATCTTGATATGGGGATTAGAACAACTTATATTCTTCGAACTTTTCACAAAAAAAAGGAAAACTTTTCGTAGTCAAGTCTCAATAATGTGCGTCATGGTTCAACAAAAACTATGAATTCAAAGCCTGTATTGAGATGAAAACAATTAAAAATATATATATGCACAAACATAATTGCATATGCAGCAGCACATTTACAAATATCTCGTTACACATGGAGCATGGTAACATGGAAGGGTCGTTTGCTAGGATTGAAGAGCTTTGAAATGAAGCTAGGGAGGGGTCATTCTATTTTGGGATTGTTATGGCTTGATGATTCTGTTGTGGCTGATCTTATGATTATGAGATGATATTTTTATACAGTCCCCTTGGTTGGGTTTTTTCTGTAATGGGGGAATTTATGAACAAGAGATGCTTGGCAAGTAAATCAAAGATCAAGCCTTATCTCTGTTACATGGACGAAGAAATTAGAGAGGTGGAGAAAACGGAAAGCAGGAATGGGAGAGACACAATGTTTGGCGGGTAACGAGTACTTGGAAAATTTGATGATGAGATTCATCTGTATGTAGCGATGTTAGGTCCTAAATCTTTGGATTTAGTTTGAGGCGTGACAAGACTCTGGCCGTGGGTTTCCAATTTCAACTACTTAATCCAGGGAGGTCTGGATCACTCCAATGGATGGTAATTTGATTATAACATGTTAGACTTGACTGACTGGTGCTCTTATTTACCCGACTCTCTGCAGATATAAATCGTAGACAACAGGCACTTTTAATCTGCTGTGAGATAGAAGTTCAGAATCTGATAAGATATATGATTCACATTGTAACACAACTAGCAAGAATTTATAATCCTCAGTGGAACAATGTTGCCAAGACCCAAAGAGTATTATTTAAACTGTAATAGGAACCTTGTGGTTCTTAGTTCTTACAATCAGCCAATAAATGTAATGAGCACATCATGATACTGATGAATTGCTGATAGACCATGAAAATTATAAACGATGACACATTCTTGGTGGAGCCAAGCTTATTAGAAAAACAGACACTGATCTATCAACAGTTGAAACATATTCCAACTTGGAAGATTGCTTGCCCTATGAGTTCTCATAGTTTTTTCAAGCTCATTAGTCTAATATCTTCTATTAGACGGTCCAAATTGCAATAAGAAGATCCACCAACACTAACAGATTCATTGGCTAGCTTAGCCATTTTGGCCGCTGGTTTGACAAATTCCTCCTTTCTATTCACCATCAGATCATTCACCATCATTTCCACAACCTTTCTATCACACACGTCCTTCATATCCAGCCCAATTTTCCATGCTTCACTCACAAACCTGCTATTTACTTGCTGGTCAGCAAAATAAGGCCAACAAATCATAGGCACTCCTGCCAACCACACTTTCCAAGGTAGAGTTCCATCCACTATGAGTCAAGAACCCGCCAACAGCCGGATGATTCAAGACCTCCTCTTGCGGTGCCCAACCTACAATGTAGCCTCGCTCTCTAGTCGCCTCCAATAGCTCCACCGGAACATCCCCCCCCCGGCCATCTTTTCCAGTTACCGAATTTGGCCTTATAACCCACAAGAACCTCTTTTTACTGTTAACAAGTCCATACCAAAGCTCTGTAAGTTGCTCCCTTGATGTGGTTGTAACGCTACCAAAACTTACATAGATAACACATTGCTTTGGTTGCTTATCAAGCCAAGAAATGCAACTTCTATCCAATTCCCAAAGGCTATTCGAGAAGTGATCATATGATTCTCCATATTTTTCCCTTAGTCTGGTGTTTAGTTGAGCATGGATGGGTCCAATGGCGTAGATATGAGGGCATTTGGTGCGTATATGAGATAGTATTGGCCCATCTAGATCTTCAAACGTGTTTAGTATCAAGGAATGGGCTTGAGGGGTTTTTCGTGTCTCTTTAACAATAAGTTGGATTTTTGAATCTGCGTCTGTCATGTTACTTGCTCTGCAGAAACTGGGAAGATCTCGACATCGAAGAAAAGTTTCCATGCCTGGTACAGTTGTTATCAAGCGATCCATTTCTTCAATTGACAAAAACCCATTTACCAGAGTCAGAGCATATAAAAGAATTACCATTTGAAAACTTTAGGAAATCAATCATTTAAATGCCATTCTCTTTAATTGCTTCACTAATTTCTTTCCAGGTTCCAAGAATCAGTTGGATTTAGTTAAAAAAAAAAAAAAAACGTAGGCAGTCACAATTGGATCATATATATCAGTGAAAACAAAAGTTTATTTACCTCTGGTAGGAAGCTCCCCAGCTTGGATCATATCAGGGATCGAGTAATAAACCCAGAAGCAACAAGCACTGCTGGTACGAAAATAAATGATGGGGATTCCAAGCTCATTAGCAGCGTCAAGGGCAAAGCCTAAAAATCCATCTCCAATTATGCAGTCGACAGGCGGGCTAATATTGAGAAGCATCTCTATCAAACTTGATTTGGTTTTCATTTCCATGGCATCAAACATCTCCAGGAACCATTCACCTGTCCTCGGATGATCATCAGGGAGACCATCAGGTATGGTCTTAAATTCAAATCCAGGGTATCTTGCAAAATGGGCAGTAATATTCGTGTACTTGACCAGGCGTTCATGGTTGTGCTCGGAGTTTAGGAAGGTGACCTTGAAGCCAGAGAGAGCTAGCAATTCAGCTAGCTTAAACATTGAGTTTACATGGCCTTGTATTGGGAGGGGCAACACGAGAACATGAGGGCAAGCAGCTTCTGATTGTTGACATTTTTCCATCTCAGCCGAATTTTTTCAGGGGCTCTTTGAATTGAAGTGCTCAAGAGCTTGCAGTTATATATTTTTTATAATGAAGGCTGCTGCATTAGCCTTGTTGTAATCTCTTGTCACATCAATTGGCCCAAAAAAGTATTGCTGTAGTAGTCAGTTTATTTAAAATGGGCAGCAATTTGTTTGTTGGAACAGCGTGGCCACACCAGACCACGACACCACTTCTCATTCACCTCTCATCACACAATTCAATTTTGCCCTCTCGATGACTTCCCTTTTTCAGATAAATAAAGATTCTTATATTTTTGTTATTAATAACCAGAGATGATAATTCGTATAATTATATCATATAAAATATTATATTTATATTATTTTTTAATAAAAATTATATATTATAATTTATTTTAATATAAAATATAATTTTTTAATTTTATTAAATTTAAATATATTTTATTAAAAATTTAATTTAATTTATATTTATATTTTTTATTCATATTATTTTCTCATCATATTATTATTATTATTATTTATTATTTTTAAAAAAGTTAATATCTGTACAAAGGAAAGAGGGCCGTCTAATTGATTTTCTAACAACCTCTTAACCACTTGGGCTAAGAGGGGAAAGTCCATCTTGTTGTTTTATTTTATTTTCAATTACTAGTTCTACGCAAAACTATCTGCAAATCATTGGAAGAGAGATAGGATTCTAGCTATCAATATAAATACTTCACATCCGCCTCCAATTAGAGACAACATCTGATTAATTATACAATTTTATTTTAAAAGTTCAAGATCACTTTGATTTTTTTGTTTACAAGAGGACATAGCCCTAAGTGGGAGGAGACGTCTTTGACTGGAAATGAGAATCTTATGTCCTTTTCAAAGCCTCCTTGATTACTGGGCCACGAGGCAGAGGACAAGTCTACCCGGACTTCAACTCATACAAGAAACATATGACTCCAAATTATTTTAATACGTCAACCAGAACAGCTGTTAGTAGTTTGGGAGTTTCTTATAGGCCAACAGCAATCATGATTGTGCAGACTAATGCTTTTTATGTCTTCAATTAGACGATCGAAGTTACAATAAGAAGGGCCACCAACTGTAACACATGCTTTAGCCAACCTAGCCATTTCAGCAGCCGATTTCACAAATTCATCCCTCCTTTCCACCATCAGATCATTCACCATCTTCTCAATAATTTTCCTGTCACAAGCATCTTTCATGTCTATCCCTAGTTTCCATACCTCACCCACAAATCTACTATTCAGTTGCTGATCAGCAAAGTACGGCCAACACAACATAGGCACCCCTGCCACTATACTCTCCATAGTAGAATTCCATCCACTATGAGTCAAGAACCCACCAACAGCTTGGTGGCCTAAGACATCCTCTTGTGGCGCCCAACCCACAATGTATCCTCTTTCTTTAGTCCCCTCCACAAGCTCCACCGGTGTATCCTCTCCCTGGAAGCCTTTTCCAGCCACTGAATTTGGTCTTACAACCCACAAGAACCTTTTTTTACTGTTCACAAGCCCATGCCAAAACTCCAGAATTTGCTCATCTGACATCACTGCAATGCTACCAAAACTTACATAAACAACAGATTGATTCGGTTGCTTATCAAGCCATGACATGCAATTTCTGTCTACTTCCCAAAAACAGTTTGAAGATTGAGATGAAACCTCATTTTCCGGGCTCAGTCTTATCTTGAAGTGCTCATTAAGAGGTCCAATGGTGTAGATGTTGGGGCATTTGGTGCGAATTTGAGACAAAATCGGTCCTTCTAGTTCTTCAAATGTGTTGAGTATAAGTCCACAGGCTGTTAGGCTTTTTCGTGTCACAGTGCCATACCTTAGGAGAGTTGAATCCGACATGTTGCTGGCTCGACAGAAACTTGGAAGATCCCGACACCTAAGAAATTTCTCCATGCCTGGCACAGCTGTTATAGGCCGATCCATGTCTTCACTTCCTTCAATATTTGAGAAAAGAAAAAAAAAACTCAATTATCAGCTGAACGAATTCTACCCACAAAACACTAAAACCATGTAAAAGAAAATTGCTAAAATTCAAGTTACCTTTGATGGGAAGCTCCCCGGCTTCAATCATATCAGGGATAGAATAATTTGACCACAAATAACAAGCACCGATGGTACAACAATTAATGATGGGAATTCCAAGTTCATTAGCAACATCAAGAACAAATCCCAAAATCCCATCTCCTATAATACAATCAACAGGTGGGCTAATCTCAACCAACATATCTTTCAAAAGTGGCTTGGTTCTCAAGTTCATGGCTTCAAAAATTTCCATAAATCGACTACCTGACCTTGGATGATCCCTTGGAAGACCATCAGAAATAGTCCTGAATTCGAATCCAGGGTATTTTCCGAAACGGGAATGGATATTGGCAAAACGAACCAGGCGATTGTGGTTATACTCAGAGTTGAGGAAACTAACCTTTAGACCAGATGTGGCACAGAGTTCAGCTAGCTTAAGCATGGCGTTTACAGGACCTTGAATTGGGAGTGGGAAGATGAGTACATGTGGAGAAGCTTGGGACCGACCTGATTCCATCTCACTTGAAGAATATTCTTCTCAGAGCTCAAACGAAACCCTGTCTGTCTCTCACTTGCTAATCAATTTTACTCTTATTTAATTGGAAGTCCATCTACAGAAAAATGTCATTTCAAACTCGACTTTGACTTCCTAGTCCATGCACCAGTAATAATACGGAACTTAAGCTGGCATCTAGCAATAGGCCTTGGATTAAGAAATACAGCTGGGAACCAAAGAAATAGGAATCTTAACCAGGCTTGGGGGGCGAAATGATACTTTGTTTGCATAGTAAACGATTCTACTCTGTTTCTGCTCTTTGCAGACTGTATTGCTTGTAACATCCACAAAAATAAAATACAAAATAACAATTTGATGTAAAAATTAAATGGTTCTGTGAATTTCTCTGCATTTTATATTAATTTTTTAAAATTAATGTTGCAAAATTTTAAATTTGATCATTGAAATTGAAAATTTATCATTGTTCTAACGGTTGAATGACTGATTGCAACTATTTTTTTTCTATGAAGAAATTGTAAAAATTTAAGCAGTTCGTAAAATAAGCCGTTGGATTTGGAATATTTTTTGGTAATTAGGCTCCATTCATTTCGTAAAAAATGATTTTTAAAAATAAAATTTAAAAAATATTTATATTTTTTAAATTGAAAATTTTTTTTGTTATTTAAATGAATTAATAAAAAATATTTTTTGTTATTTGGTTGTTTTTTAAAATTTTTTTTCAAATAATATTAATGTAACTATTAAAATATGAAAATTTATTTATTATTAAAATATATTGAAATAATTTATTATTAAAATTATTAATATTAAAAAATAATTATATTTTAATAATAATATTTAATATTAAAATATTAAGTTAATATAAAAAATATTTAAAATAAAACTATTTATTATTTTTTATATTATTTATTAATATATTATAGACGCCCACTTTTTAAATCAGCAGGCTTTGAGTAAGGCTAATAAAATAAATAAATAAAATAAATAAAAGCAGAGTTTAAACTCTAGAACCAAGAGTTTAAAATTTGAAACTAAGATAAAAAAATATTTCTTTTTTAAACGAGGATGAACAGATGATAAGATAATAAGATAGGGGGATTTTGATTTTTGAATCTTGTAATCAACCACAACGTAAGCCTAAGCAATCATAAGAACAAGGACAAACAGAAAAGAAAATGAGTGATTTAGAAAAAAATAAAAAGATTTTCAAAGAAGATTATAGCTTTCTAAAGCAGTTTTTGGGGATTTATCTTTTAATTAGGAGATTAGTTTTTTTTTTTTGTGAAATTTTTCTGCATTTTTTGGAAATTTTCTAAAACTTCTAAAATTCGTTGAATTTTTTGACAAAAATTTAAATTTTCAGTAACTTTTTGATGAAAAATTTAATTTTTGGTGATAAAACCCATAAACCAATGAGTTTTCTGGCAATATTCGATGAAAAATGGTGATTGAAGATCGTTTAGAGTGAGAAAGAGAAGAGTAAAGAGAGGAAAAAGAGAAATAGTCTAAGAAAAAAAATGAGATTTTAGGTCTTTTATATTGCTTGAAAATGACGTTGTTTTGAGCTAAGTAGGATCCGCGTATTTTTTTTTGGTCCAACTCGACTCGTAACACCTTTGAAAAAAAAAAGATATTTTTGAAAAAAAGTTGAAAGTATTAGTTTTCTTTGAAAATAAAAATTTTGAAAAAGGGTATTTTTGAGAAAAAGTTAAAAATATTAATTTTTCTTAAAAATAAAATTTTCAAAAAAGGTATTTTTGAAGAAAAGTTGAAAGTATCAATTTTTTTTAAAAATAAAAATTTCAAAATACATTTTTGAGAAAAAATTGAAAAGTATTAAATTTTCTTGAAAATAAAAATTTCAAAAAATGTATTTTTGAAGAAAAGTTAAAAATATTAATTTTTCTTGAAAATAAAAATTTAAAAATATATTTTTGAGGAAAAGTTAAAAGTATCAATTTTCTTGTATAAAGGCTTGAATTTTTTAAATAAAATAAAACAAAATAATGAAAGAGATCCCTATCAAAGGTTAAAGCATTATTTTTTTCCTTTTCTTTTTTTTGAAATTTTTTTTGAATAATCCGATGATGGAGCTCCTGTAAGAGAAACATTGGTTTTCTTGTATACTCTTGAGGTAAGAAATTTTTTTTAATTTTTTGCCAAAAGTATTAGAGTTAATTAAGAATAATTTTCAATAATTAATTACTTGGTAAGATTTAAGGCTTAATGGATAACACGAAATCGAGTCGATATTATTTTTTGATGATCATTATGGGGGTGCTATAACCTTCATAACATGTAACCATACTTTCAGGCTTAGTTTTGATTTCGTAGCTATTGAATCTACTTTTTAAAGATACCTAAGTCAAACTTAGGATTTCTCTTTAAAATGATAGATTCAATTAGGTGGCCAATCGCACCTAAATAAAAAAAATTGATGGAGACTCTTCAAGTCAATATCTAGCAATAGATCCACGGATTTAAACGTTATTATAGTTTAGTAATTTCGCTAGATAAAATCTGTGAGTCAAGCCAACAAATAAATTTGTGTTATCTAAAAACCTAATAAAATTAAATTTTTTGTAAATATTTTTTTATTCATTTATTCTATTTATTTACTTTGCTAACTATGTCATTCATATGCATGTGCATAACATGAGCTCTATACCCGAATTTTATCCTTTTAGGTTAGAGTAAAGTACCTACGCTTTCATGAGGTTTTAATCCCTCCACAGTGGCTAGTGAAATACTCCAACTCAAATTGAACCTTTTTCGCTTGTAACCTATAATGGGTGAAAATTTGGGTGCCTTACTAATCTGTGATGGACAATGATGTAAGGAGCAATTTGAGAACCTTTAGATTTTTAACCTTTAAACCACATATAATAAACCTTAAAAATGTCTAACTTATAGATAGAGCCATATCCTGCCCTTTAGAATTGATCAAAAGCTTAGGATTCATTCTTTTTTGTGTATGATAAATAATTTTATTTATTTATATTTTTCTATCTTATCCAGTATACTAACCTTTTTTCTTATTCATTTTTGCATGATTCATACTCATATCCTGAAGTTGCATAAAGAATATTTGCTTGAAAAGATAATTTTCAACAAAGAATTCTTTTATGGATTTCACAGAACAACCGGTCTGCTCTTCATCTGTATTAGCTCCTTGTGAGTCACCAAATGAGGTAAAGGCTTAGTTTGAGAAAATCCAACAAAAAAAAAGAATTGTCTACTAGTTGGCCATGCTTCTATCTTGTCTCAAGAAATATCTATCCTCTTCAAACAAAATAATCTAGAAGACTTATTTGATATATGAAATAAGATGAGTCCATCAAGACGATAGGACTTTTGCTAGAGACATGGATATATAGTTAACCTTCTTATATTGAATGTCGAGAATCAACTAATTAGGGCTCTAGTGTAATTTTGGGATCCTTTATATAAGTGTTTCATCTTTAATGAAGTTGATATGACATCTATCATTGAATAATATTCAACTTTATTGAGATTACACCTCAAGGCTCTTAATAAGATATATGTTAAAAAACATAAATTAGGATTCCGTAAGAATTTGACCCATTTTATAGGCATAAACAAAGAGATTGTAGATTCCCACACCAAGAAAAAATAAAAACAGGTTTACTTACCTTGGAAGTTCTTTCATGATTTTCGAGTATAACATGCAAATAAGGAGCATGGGTTAGATGTGTTAAAATTGCCATAAATGCCAAATCTACACAAATAAAATACATGCCCCTTCAAATGCTCTACATGTTATTGCACCCCTTGACCATTTTTAATGTGGGGCATGGATGTTATCAGACCCATCGCTTCGAAGGCTTTAAATAGACAGGTTTATTTTTGTAATGATTTACTATTTCACTAAATGGTTGAAACTGCATTGTATGCCAGTGTGACATGATCGGTAGTATGTAAGTTCATTAAGAAAGAACTAATATGTAGATATAGACTTTTGAAAAGAATTATCTCAGATAATGCTAAAAATCATAATAGAATATGATGAAAAAGATATGTGCCCAGTTTAAAATCAAACATCATAACTCGACACCCTATCATTTGTAAATGAATGGGACAATAAAAGCAGCAAAAAATTTTTAAAATTTTTAAAAAAATAATCGAGACTTATAAAGATTAGTATAAGAAGTTGCCTTTTGCTTTGTACATTTATTAGACATTAGTACGTACCTCTACTTGGGTAACCTTATTTTTTTTTTAGTCTATGGGATGGAAGCAGTGTTGCTAGTAGAAGTAAAAATTTCTTTTTGAAAATCCTAAAAAAGGTTGATTTAGAAGAAGTCGAATGGATCTGAGAGCATTACGAGCAATTGAATTTTGTTAAGAAGAAAAGATCGATAGCGCTATATCACGCTCAGTTATACCAAAAGAGAATGATACGGCATATGACAAGAAAATTCGACCTCGATGTTTTCATGAAGGAGAGTTGGTTTTGAAAAAGATTATCCTAAGTCAACATGATAATAGAGAAAAATAGATTTCAAATTAGAAGGTCCATATGTTGTCAAGAAAGTGTTCTTAATAAGAGCTTTAATCCTAACAAAAATGGATGGAGAAGACTTGCCCAATGTAATAAATTCAGATACTGTAAAGAAGTATTTCTCTTAAAAACAAAAAAAGTTGAAATTAAAAACATGTAAAGAGAGATTTGAGTTTAAAAAAAAAAAAAAGAGCTAAAATTGAAAACCTATAAAAGGCATTTTGAGTTTAAAAAATGGGAAAAGAAAAAAAGCTCAAATTGAAAACTTGTAAATGGCAGTTTGACTTCAACAAAAAAAAAGGGGCCTATATTGAATACCCACAAAAGGCAGTGTAGAGGTTCAAGACATTACTTTCATAGTGTAAGGGGCAAGTGTGTTTTGATGAACTTGAAAGGATCAAAAGTTTCAGTTAGATGGTTTTTGAGAATAGCTCCAGGTTGCTTTGATCATGATTATCTGATAGCCCATTTTAGCCCATCTTTGTAACTCAATCCTATTCAATCAATAAATTCATTTTTTTTTATGTCAACACTAACCTCTTTTATTATTTTCATTTTCTTTTTGTCTACCCCTTTACCCGGGTAAAAA